TAGCGCAGAAGCCAATGCTGCATTCACTTACACTCGGATATCTCAGCTTCACCGTGAAAACATAATCGGACATTTGATATTTGATTGAATTTTATTGTTTTGCCTTTGGGGTGGCACCTGGGGTGGCCAGTCTGGTTGGGGGGGTGGCCTGTGCCCCCCCCCAGGCCACCCCGCTGGACACGCCACTGTCTGTTGGCCAAAAACATGAAGAGCAGCTAGAATCTAATATTCATAATGAACTGCTTCATTATGATTGCCCACTCTACACAACAGAATTGACAGCTTTTGTTTGATATCATGTGACAGTTCTGTTTGACATTGGGCTGATATTGTGCTTTAAACATGTATCTGTTTTGGGGGGGTGAAAAATTACGTTATGTCTTTTTTAATAATAAATCATTTTTATGAATATACCTTCCTTGTTTAAACATGTGCCATGGTGTGTTTTCATTTTGCTTGTGACTTGTTGATGTTTTTTAATAATAAAAAAAACACACAATATATAAATGCTTATGCTGTGAGATCCCTGCCCCCACGTGATTATGTAACCAATGGGCAGGTACGTTTGTCTTCTGACATAATTGATCACGTGACTCTCCGACGAATCAAGTCTCGAAGTGTGTCACGTAAGGAACGTGCCCTCACTAGCCGGCGGTGGTGGGAAATTTAGATCTGTGTGTGAGCTCTGCTGTACTATAGCAAGTATTTTAAGTATTTGTCCGACCAGGGTTTCGCGATTTAAGATGGGCAAGAATAAGTACACAACACGACTGAAAAACTTTGCACGGAGGAACGATTTGAAGCTGGAATATGAGAACGTTTTAGAGAGACCTGGCGAGAAAAGGTGAGCTAAAACCGGATAAATGTGTTCGGCAGCTGCAATGTATTAAAGAGGGTATGCTGCCATATTGTGCATTGGGCCATGCAAGTGCTAAACCAACTACTAAGTCCTTGTAGTCTTATATTAGTTTAATAATAGCTATTTGGTTTAACTTGGAATACGCGCGACTCGCTGTGATACACAACGGCTGTGTTGTCGGAGCCCATTACTTCGCACTGTCCCGAAAAATCTGGGCTTTGACAAGTCGTGTTTTGACGTAGTTGACTGGCAGTGACCTCGCTTATTACATTATTTAACTTGGGATTCAGTTCTTTCTTTTCATAACCAAACCATGTAAAGAGAGAACTTTAAGAACTTAATATAGCCACTACACTGACCATCAAAACGATGAAAAAGCCTCCGTGGCTTCACATTTCTGCGATCGGCATGATCAAAAATTCGCCCTTCTCTGACAGATTTGTCATGTTGTGCTCGCTCCTGCAACATCATCATCCCCAGAAGTTTCCCCGCGGTTATGCTGCCATGTCCTCACATAGCTCTAGAAACATTCAGTTATCACTTATCGCTATTTCAGGTGACTACCTTATGAAGCTCATAAAGTAATCAAAGCAAAGGGTGGCTATTTTGAAGAATCTAAAATATTAAACGTTTTTTGAGTTGTTTCACGCTTTTTTGTTTACCACATAATTCCATATGTGTTCATTCATAGTTTTGATGCCTTCGGTGAGAATCTGCAATGTAAATAGTCATGAAAATAAAGAAAAACTGTTAAATGAGAAGCTGTGATCAAACTTTTGAGTTGGAGTACATCAGCAATGTTAATTGGAGCTTTTAAAATTCTTTGTCAGAGTCATCATGAGGGCTGTGATCAATGGGCAAAGGTTTCCTGATGGTGAGGGGAAGAACGCTGAAAAAGCAAAGCAGAACGCAGCTCGAAATGCCCTGGAAAGTTTGAATGAGAAGGAAAATCTAATCGTGGAGGTAAGATGGTGCATGTGCCTGTATATGGAACACGTTTCACAAATTTGTTGATCTATTCTTAA